AGAGAGAGAGAGAGAGAGAGAGAGAGAGAGAGAGAGAGAGAGAGAGAGAGAGAGAGAGACACACACACGCACACACGCACGCACGCACGCACGCACGCACGCACTCGGTGAATCGCCATTTATAGATTGCTAGTCGGAGATGTCAACGGGGATCACGGCCAGGCCCTCGCTCAGATAGCATCTGTAGAAGACGCCAAATCAACAAGCAGAAACTTTCCATTTTAAAACCACCGCACCCTTCCCTTGCCCCTTGACTTCTGCTTACCAAGTGCGCAAACACACCTGCACAGACAAACTACAGTTAACGCCGCCAACGCCTACTTAGTAACGCCGCCAAGGCCTGCACCATGTGTGTGCGTGTGCGTGTGTGCGTGTACGTGCGTGCGTGCGCGTGTGCGTGCGTGCGTGCGTGCGTACGAAGTTACGAACGCAAGATGTAAACATACAGTAGTGGGACGCAAAAGTTATTAATAAAATATTGGTTGAGGAAATTTCGGTGACAAAAAAGCCATGGTGTCTTCTTACTAGTGCCATTTTTTAGGATGAGGACGAGGATGAGGATGAGGAGGAGGAAGGAGGAGTATGAGGAGAAAGAAGAAGATGGTAAAGAACAGTAGAGAGCGAGGTTTCGGGTTGGACATGTACATTGTCGTTTCCAGAATGGTCGCGATCCGTTTCGGAAACCCTTCGAAAACACAGCGAGACGAAGAAAAATCGAACGAGCATCTGCGAGAGAAATTGCAACAACGCATTGCGCAGCTGCTGCACACTGCCAGCTAGATGCACACCTCGACAAGCCACCACCCCTCTATCGCGCACATTCTTGCGCCCAAAACTCACCATGTAAGTAGTCAGCCAAGTCGCCTCCGTTGCAGTACTGGAGAAAAAAATAACGACAAACGTCAATGCATGAGCAACCGACGTACATAAAACTACAGTTACTCCATTCAGCATAGTGCCACCCAAGGACAAACAACTAGTGAAAGTTAGCCAGGCCAGGGCGGTGTAACTACAAAAGAACTAACTGTCAGTCTATGTTCTCGTTTCAGCTCGATCATTTGGACTAGCATGGTTCCGCACGCTTGACTATAGGCTCCAACGTGATGAAGTACTTTAATTTCACATAGAAATCCGACTACTTGCCTACGACGGTACGCGTTCAGGAATATATGATGTTACGTGTACTGCTATCGGGGTTTTCTACTCTTTATTCTATTGTATTTCTTCTAAAAACCAGTCTATGCGAGTCATAACACGTCCTAAACAAGTCCCAACGCGTTCGCAAGATGGAATTTCTAGAGAAGAACCACACACAAAACACACACACCTCGCGGGGAAACCAACTGTATTTCTAGTTTTCAAGATTTCTGTGTTTTCTAGTTTGCGATATATATCGGGAACACCTAGTGCTGCCGCCAGCCCTCGAGGGAGCAGCCACTTATACTCAGACAACTGATATTATCGGGAAAACATGCAGCTGTATTTCTTATGAACGCCTGTGGTCCTTATAGCACCTGCGCATAGCTAGCGCTTCCCACATCACGGCCACTTGGATCGATGAGGGTAAAAACTCACTTCCCTTTCCCCAGCACCCTAACGCATGGCCCTTACAAAGGTTTTGACAAGACTCGCGTATTTAATGATCATCATGAGTGAGATAAAGATGTGTGGAGATCATAAGAGACTGCATAAAGTTTATACAAGCTCACCTGGATCTCGAAGCATCACTTTTGCGATACTATTCAGTATTGTTTCCTCGAAGCAACATGATGTAGCAACTGATTACAAGCATAATCTAGATGGGGCTGTTACATCAACTTCTAGGAGAAACAGGGATTTGGAGAGTCAAACACCAAACACTACCTATATGATAACATTTAGGAGTGTATAATATAGACATATATATTATATTGTATCTGTCTACATTATACACACACAGGGGTAGAAATTAACTTTAGGCAGGAATTTTAAAAGAATAGGCAATTGCCCTGATGTAAATGTAGCAGTGGAAGCTAAGTGATGAATGTACCTTGCTGCATATACTTGTTTGTCTAACGCGATATACATACAGGGCCCCAGGGGTAGAAATTAACTTTTGAACAAGGAAGTCCAACGGACTCCCTACCCTCAAAAAGAGTCCGCAGCAAAATGAGGGAGTCTGCAGTCTGAAGTTCAACACTAAAGATATTAACAATAACGCATGTGCTTATTTTGAAGGTTCAGGAGGTTGCACGTCTGCCAAATTTTCTTTGGGCATTTTAATACTGAAATATTCCGCGAGGCCGTGCTCTGGAACGAACTAGTTAGTATAGCATAATTTGTCACGTGGACTCCTGCATATATATGTCAAATCAGGGAGTCCGACAGTAAATCAGGGAGTATTTGACTCCGGACTCCTGTTAATTTTGCACCCTGAGGTAATATACAGGTGTGCTATTGATAGAGGTGTGTAAAGCTGGGGGCAAACAAAATATATGAGCGTATTTTTTCGCCCGATCGCGGCGAATTTTAAAATCGCTCAAAAAATTCGCCCGTGTGCCCGTTCACGTCGACGACGATTTTGTACGCCCGTACGAATCGCCCGTATCAAAAATGTTAGATATTTTCGGCCAATTATTTACGCCGGCGGATCGATCCACTGGCAAATTCGCTCGTCTGCCTGTGTCCGGCGTATTTTGTCGAGCGATCGCTTTTTTTTTAAACCAATCGGACGCGTTGTTGATATCATGTGATGTTAAAATGGCTGCCTCCAATACAGAAGTGTGAACTCGCGAAAAAGCGCGTACGCTCTCAAATTCGCTACGTGTGCCCCTTCGTGATCGAGCGTATAAATTCGCTGGCGATTTTAATCGTCGCGATCGGGCGAAAAATTACGCTCGTGTGCCCCCAGCTTTAGGGCATGACTTCCGTCTATGAGCTTTCTCACACCTAAGCTAGCAACAGAGGAGTTCACTTACCTCCATAACCAGGTAGACATGGTGAGTGGTCTCCTGAAAATAAAGAAACGAAAAAACTTAGACAAAATTATCCGATCAACCGTCTCACACACATACATATAGATAAAGAATCGCTCCACTCTGAGTGTGGGCCATGCTCATATGATAATATATAAAAAGCACTAGAAGTGAAGAGACTGAAACTAGACATATATCGATATCGAAAGTACACGGATTAAGATATAGAGATGCAGATAATCATCAGGATATAGATATAAGATAAGACATCGGGTGAGTGCACGATGTCACGTGTGCACGATTCAAAACCTGACCGATAGCAACGGCAATAAAAAGAAGTCTCTGCTAAGATAACGACACGAGCATGATAATTAAAATACACGAAACGCATCCCCATAACTGTCAACCGTTGTCTCTCTCTTTCTCTCTCTCTATTCCTCTCTCTCTCTCCAAGTGTAATATATATTATATGGTTAGTTGACTGGTAGTGTTAGAGTTATCTGGTCTTGTATGGTAGTATGTGGGTTGTGTATTGTTGCTACTATGCTAGGTTGCTAAGTGAAAAAGAGAGACAGCACTGACATTTCGCTCAAAGCGTACATTTTTAGTACACGCACATGTTTTCCTGATTTTATCCCCTCACCACCAACCCACGCGATTGAAATCGTAGCGGGGTTGTTGACATGCACGCAGGCCGCACGCATTCAGGTTATAATATGCACGTGAAATGGTCCTGCTGCACAAACGCATGTGAATTAGCAAGTTCACGGTGCGTGCACGTGGTTTTAATGACAGAAGATGTCGCGTTTTGACGTTGAACTCCCGTCTGTCTGTGGCGCGATGTCAGTAACACACACACGCACACACACATGTACGGGTTCCAAGGATATTCCCTGTTCGTTCATAATGTTCCGATTTGTTCTTCTCGTGCCGGCAAAATGCCAGAAGGTTCTCACTGCTACTACCTCGTTCTCTCACTTCCTCTCTCTCTCTCTCTCTCTCTCTCTCTCTCTCAGTATGTACTCTTTATCCCTTTCTCCCCCCGGACCCCTCTCTCGCTCTCTCTCTCTTTCTCGCTCTCTCTCACTCCCCCTCTCTCTCTCTCTTCCCTCTCTCTCTTGCTTTCTCTCCCCCCCCCCCCCTCTCTCTCTCTCTCTCTCCCCCCCCCCCCGCTCTCTCTCTCTTTCGCAAGAGATACATCAACTTGTTACTGGGCAAAATCTGAACAAAGAGCTCGAGCAGTGGAAACCAGTCACCTGGCGAACCCCCCCCCCCCCCACACACACACACGGACGGGCACACAGGTGAGGGAAACACAGGGTTGCCGAGCAAGCTGCAAGAGCACTTGTTCATGGGCTGTTGCAGATCTTTGTTGGCATCCAAGTGCAAGCGTGCAAATTTAGTTTTTTTTCAGGTTTTAACCGTAACAGCTGATCAGAACACGTATCCGCCTGCTAATATGCTCTATACCGATGATGTTTAAAAAAAGAAAGAATTTATATAAGATATAACGTAGTTTAAAAGAGTTTCTTTCTCTGATCCGGGTTTGATAACGATAATCAAACAACAACGTGGATATGACAAAACGAGATAATGTATTTTTACATGTGAGCAATCACGTGCTATCTAATATCAGCCGAGCCAATAACCAACAATCGATTATTGATAATAACATTTTCTCCTTCATTCCCATTTACCCACTGATCGTTGAAATTGCGGGATTTTAAATTTTAATTCTCATTTCACTAATGCACGCGTGTGCCGCGGGCATGTTGATAGGCATGTCCAGCCAAGCGTGGCAAGTCAGATATGCTACATGTATGTGAGATCAGTGGGTCAAGGTTTTTAGAACATGCTGCGAATGCAGTTAGTAGTAAAGCAGTTTCCAATAAGTACCCCAGGGGAATATATCGGTAGTCTGCTAACATTTGCAATAGTAACCTGTAAACATGTCCACTTCTAATTTCACTCACGTAAGACACATTTAGTCAAATATTTACTACAAATTTTGGAGTGTTATAGTCCGCGTTGATCTGTATTAAACCAATTTCATATCTGCTTCCAATCTGACGCATGCCTCTGTATTGACCTCGGACATAACATCCTCCCAATGGGGCTGCATATATCATTAAGTGTGGTGAACACACAAAGAAAGGCAATCCGTGGACAACTAGCCAGCCAAACTCAGTGTTAGTCTATCACATGCTTGACACGTGCCAAACTGGCCACAATACCCCTAGCTCTAGTACTATAGCCCGCGTACAGTTGCCGCAGGCCTGAGGCAACTGTACGTGGGCTATAGTACTAGTAACTAGAGCTACAATGCCCCCAGCTGGGCCCTTCATTATGCATTGATCCGTGTACCTCCGCTTACCAATATACTCCAAATCACTGGACAAAGACAAAAGGTTGGACAAAGACAAGGGGACAAGAACTGAACAATATATAGCACATCTCTGGAAGATTTGCAAAGAACAGAACATCTTGGTGACGTTTTAGAAGGAAATGAAAGAATAGGCAATTGCCCTGGTGTATATATGTAGCAGTGGAAGCTAAGTGATGAATGTACCTTGCTGCATATATACTTGTGTGTCTAACGCGATATACATAGCAATAAAGTTCTACAGTGGATGTCAAACATAATTGTCATTAATATCATGAATGACCACTGAAAGTGGCAATATCTAGGGTACATACCTTGCAGTCGAACAATGCCACAACATTTTCATGATGTAGCTCTGTCAACTCCTGAAAAAAGGGAACAAAGAGAAGCAGATTTAGTATTAACTTAAACAAATATACGATAGATATTTAGTGACAAAGACTGGCAAAGTTGTTCACTGATTTTAGGCTGGACTGTATGTGTGAGTACTTACAATTTACATCACATGATGAATAGTTACAGAACAAACAAACACACAAACAGTAAGTAACTACATTAACTTGATTACCTTGCACCATAACATTGAGAGATACGTTTTATGAAAACAAGTCATTTGTGATTTACACAGGGTGCGAAATTAACGGGAGTCCGGAGTCAAATACTCCCTGATTTGACATGTGTAGGAGTCGGTGTGACTCCCTGAAAATTCTGCCTAACTAACTAGTTCGTTCCAGAGCACAGCCTCACAGAATTACCATATATTTTCAGCTAATGTCTGAAGAAAATTTGGCAGACGTGCAACCGCATGAATCTTAAAAATAAGCACATGCGTTATTGTAAAATATCTTTAATTTTGAACTTCAGATTGCGGACTCCCTCTTTTTGAGGGTAGGGAGTCCGTTGGACTCCCATGAATGGACTCCCATGTTTAAAAGTTAATTTCTACCCCTGTTTACATGTATGAATATTTCAATATACATACATACATACACTTCAGCTAGAAGATTGACCGAGTTTCTTGGTCAGTACACAGTAGTACCGGTACTGAAATTTACAACCAACAACATCCTTGCCAACAATTCTAGCTATTCATCAAAAACCATGTGGCACGATTAGTTACATATGATATAATTGAAAGGGTTTCACTAAAAGCACACTGTCTCCCTGTTAAATATTGACCGAAAGTGCCTAGATACATTAAAATTGACTAATTTCAACTGTTTCTTGTTTATACATCAGTGATGATAGAGGTATGGTACACAAGATAGGGATATGAAATCGCTAGAATGTCACGGTGCCAAAATGCAAGGTATGTGTTGACAGACTGACATTACAACTTGTACATCGGATCCGACAATATCCCACTACAAACACACCTTTAGGATCTTGATCTCTTTTCCCAGAAGGTTCTGGGATTTTGACAGGTTCTTCTTTGTAATGCTCTTGATAGCGACAGGTTGGTTCGGCACCTATTAAATAACAACAAATCGTGCACTATTAGTTTTAGGTAATAAATACCATAGTTGGCTAACGTTAACGTAACATGTGGCTAAACATAAATTAATGCCGAATAACTGCCTACGTAAGTTTAATGGAACTAGGTTTGTAACTAACTCATTATTTTGAAAATTGTTAATAATTTGACAATAGTGTTAGTGACAGTGTAACGCAGGACCACGGTCATGTTTCAGTAGCGTGAACAATAACAATATGGCAATAATAACAGTAATAGTACTAGTACTAACTACTAATACTATTAATATGATTATCAACAAAAATTATCTCAAGCACAATGACAATGCAAGCAAACTGTACATATATACGTGATTGGTATTAACAGCACGTAGTTGTTAATGTTAATACTTGGAGATATTTTCACAAATAAACACACTATTATTATAGCACTTTAATTTACAAATTACAATGAGAAAATTATCCTTACCTTTCTGCACTTTCCTCTGAACACCACAGCGAACGCTCCATGTCCTATTAGATCTTTCTTGCTGTACTCGTACTCACCAACTACCTCCATAACGTAAACTGTATTATATTAGATGGCTCTCTGATGAGGTTAAACGACAGCACACATGTAGCGCCATCAGCAGACCACAAATCAACTGCCGCTGGCAGTGAAATAAAACAAAGATATTTCTGCTACCTTTCACATGATGAAATGACGATTATTGATAGTCAAATCATGACTTTTACGAAACACTAGCCTATAGAAGGCTGTTAATGTCTTCGAACGAGTTGACAATACGTTACTCGATTATCCGTCAACTCTAATCCCAGTATAAAAACGTAAACGACATTAGATGAACGTATCTATACGACGACCAACGGTAACATTACAAGCAATGATGAAATTTCTGCGTTTTGTTACGGTGCGACCGAAGCACCGACAATCGATATATTATGAAAAAAAGTAATTCGGACAAACTACTTGTCGTTTTAATTTCCCTAGCCTTTTATAAAATATTATTATAACGATAATAGAAGTTTATCACTATTCGCACTGTAGCATATGAATCATAATATTATGTTACACATCAATTTATATAGCAGATGAAACAAAAATAGTAGTCTGCAAAAAATAGTGCGGCGCCCTAATACATCAGCTGTTTATGATTAAACAAGTGGCTACTTCTATAGTCAACGTCGCCCCTCCCCCCCCGGTTTAACTAGGGCGCTTCCTAAGAATGCGTGCATGTGATTAATTAAGAGGTGAATTAATTAAGAGGTGATTAATTAAGAGGTGAATTATTTTCTAAGCAATCTATGTTTTAATGTAGTGCGTGACTAATTACTGTAACATGAAATGAATGAATGAAACATGACATGAATGCAAAAGTCTTAACCAGAGTCTCTTATTTTTACTTGTTAAATACTTGTTACGAACTGTTTTAATTATTGGTCTACTTATGTTAGTTGGCCGGTCTTAAAAGCTCACCATAGCTTATGTTTCTCATGTTGTAAACATACCGACTTTAAATAAAGATTACTTGTAGTTGTCCTACTTAATAAATACAGCAAATGTAGCAGATGTAAATTGTTCGACCCTCTGCTGTCGTATTGTAAATCAGAGTGCACAGATATTCGCGAATGCTGTATTAGTGTGTTATTGTACGTGTTATTACACAAAAGTGAAATGTTCCTTAAGTTAAAAATTGATAAGTACATAGTGTAAGAATTCAGTATCGCAGCGCCCTCTGCCGACTGAACTTTATTTGCATGCACTATATACAGGAAATATTGCCAATTCGGCATAGTTTCTATATGTACTACAATATGTCTTTCACTTTTACTTTTTTTTCTGCGCACATTGCCGTGCATGTATACATACAAGAATTATTGCAGTTATTCTTACAAAATTTTAACAGTCGTAACTTTTTGCTGGCCTAGTAATCGCAATGTATTCTCAATACATCTCAACTACATATGGAACTGAGTCATATCTTTGGCCTTGCCGAGTACTCATGGAGCGAGACACTGGGGAGATTTATATTCTATTTCAAGTGGACGCGTATCTCAACCAACCATTTATAATAAAGAGTGAATAAGTGTATGTTTATTTTGTAGATAATCTAATAAGAATTGATGCGCTATAGAATATTTATATTAATATCGTTACGAACACTGATAGCAATCACTAACACTAAGAATGTTAACCAAAGTCATACAGAATAAATTAATTTCTGATAAGATATGACCATGCGTTTGTAATTACAGATAATAATTATAGCAAATTGTTTATATATATATAATTGTATATATATATATTGATTTACTCGTTGACAGATGTATGTGTAAACGGACAAGCCATAAACTGTAAAGAACTGTTGTAAAAAAAATCCTCTAATATAACCACATAGCATGTTTGTATTTTGAGCCTGTAATCTGTTATGTGTGGTACGTAAATGAATTGATGAGAGGTTTCCTACATAGAAGGGTTAAAGTAAGTAAGGTTGAAGAAAGTCAAGATCAGCAAGATTTTTTTGAGACATTTTTCTGTGTTTATGCCTAATTGAGACAGTTTGTAATAAAATATATTAGGTAATGAATGATATTATTCAATTACAGATTTATAATTAGTCACACAGCTCAAAAGATTTCTGTACAGACATTTTAGGTTAATGCAGCATTAATACAAGTATAACATCATTAGGGTAAAAACAAAGTGTGTGTGTGGGGGGGGGGCATGCTTGCGTGCGTGTCTGCGTGCGACAGTGCTTGTGTCCCTACGCGCATGTATCGCTGACTCCTCTATCTATCATATCTATAATTTATATACCCTTCATTATTTACCCTTCTATTCCACGTTCTCAATCCACCATTAACCCCTCAAAGATATCTTTCTTTCTTATCTCGGAATAAAATTGAGTTTATACTTCTTAGGGCAGTATGTGAGGCCAAATATTCCTTCAAAGGATGGGTTTTCTCCCTCAGGTAGCTTCAATTCAAAGTTCTGCAGAATGCTTGTGAAGAACAGAAAGAGTTCCACCTTTGCCAGGATTTCTCCTAAGCATACGCGCCGACCTGAAATGTAAGCAATATTAGCTGATCTCTCATCATGGTAACCATTATTTACCAGAGAAATGTGGAATCATTTTTATTTTACTCGTGCATTTAATTACTCGATATTATCTGTTTAATTATCAGTTAGATACGTACCGATCGAGAAGGGAATTGCTGCTTAATGCTGGGTTCTGCTAGACAAGCAACATCAATAGCTGCCATTGCCATGTCGATTTAGTTAAAATTTCATTAAAAAAATCAAAGAGATTTTTCCATTAGTAATTCCATGGCTGAAAAGGCGACCGATGTTCGGTGTTGTTATCACAGCAAAAGAGTATGCCGGCACTACAGCCTCTCCTGTTCGGTGGATCGGCGATCCTTGCCTCCATCGGATTCCTCTTCTTCCCGGAAACAGACGGGAAACCGCTGATGGAGATACCTGAAGAATATCCGGAGTGGAGCCGCGAGGATTGGACGCCAACGTTAAGAAGAAAGGAACCTCGTAGGGTGGAGAAGGACAGTGTTCCGCTATTCTTACGTGGCTCTCGTAATGAGGCCAACATGGGAATAACGGCGCAGAAAGTCAAATGCTGTTCACATTATTGCTTAGGATGTATTCTGCAGAGGATTAGATGAGCAGACAGCAGCGGGAGACGCCATCTTGAATCCGTGACTATTGAATAGCATTTACCAGCGATTTCCCATTCTTGTCCTCATTTATTTCCATGCAAGAACAAAAAGAATTGAAGTGCACTGCCTAGTGTCCCTGCCACGTATGATTGTGTTATCGGACTTGCAGTAAGGAGGAGATCCAGCACTCAAACACAGATATGTGCTTAGAATATATATATATATATATATAATACTGCTTGAAATTGACCCGTCATACTAACTCGGATATTCACAGCATCCTTAAACTCTTATGTTGTTCTCTATTTGGAATATATAACAATTTATTTCTATATTTCCACAATATATATATATATATTATTTTTCATTATTATAGGGAGCCATACAACAGTAAGTCTCCGCAAATTGTTCACCGTTGCACTATTTCGTCTCTAGAAAAGCATTTTTGCATTTTCTTCGCCGAAATTGGGCACTAGAGTGAAATAATTTGCATTATGCACGCAGGTTAGATGCCTCGTGGACGTCTAGAAAGCATTAGAAGTAAAATTGGTCTTGTTGTGTATTCGTGACATTCCGTCAGGTGGCGTAGCCACAGCGACCGGTTGGTCATTTTTGTGTTTGAAATGTGTTCAGACAACTTTGCAGAAATTCGCATCATAGAGCTGGCAAAGGTTTCGAGCGGAGCATAGAGCATGAATCTGTAGTTTTTTAACATGAATAAAGTGTATGTTGTGTAAACGCAGTAACAGTGTGAGTATTTTTAATTCATTTATGTTCGATGCTTATTCAGGCCTGTCGCCTATGGACGCCCTCGACTGTTGTTCACCACCTTATATATAATCAGAGCATATAAATCAACGTGAGGTTGATTTATATGCGCTGATATAATATCATATATTAATGATATTATCGGTGGTAAAATCCGTCACAACCAATCACAACCCATTTTAACTATGTGTCTGCTTGTGCTGCCATCTATATTCCGCTCAGATCATTCCTGTGTGAGAACAGACCACTATTAAATCCTCCATAGGATCCTATACTTAAGAATTGAATTTCAGGAGCTGAAAAATAGTATTTCGACCGTTTTCGGCCAAGTGGCAATATTAAAGCTAGGTAGCCATGTACTTCAGCTGTGCACCATTAGAGTTATGACATATGTTGTCCGGCGTTTTAAAAAAATATCGCGAATTTACTAATCGACACCACATTTGAGCCTGAAAAACAGTCGCGCAGTCCGTCCAATGGGAGCCATACATTGAAAGAATTCGTTTTAAATTACCAGTAACCATCCACCCATCTCAATGTGTATGTCATTGCCACACACGATAGCCAGCCTAAATAATGCAACCACAAAACGTCGCGTCAGCTTTAGTGCACGAGCTGCGGGCCCTCCGATTGGTCGGCCGATGACGCGTCACCTCTCTAACCTAACAGGGTAATGAACCGGTAGTGATTTAATAGTGGTCACGTGTCTGTATGTCACATGTGTGTTTGTTAGCTTGACGGCTGCGGTCCCGTGCCTGGACACGTGTTATAAGATAGTTGCGGAAAGTTATCTCTGGTCGAGAGAACACACAGCTGAAAGGATTTATGCATGCAACATTTTTACGTTAATGCGGTATAGACAAAAGTATACGTCGTCGGGTAAAAATGTGTGCGCGTGCCTGCTTGCGTGCCTTCGTGACTCTAACTCTTGTGTGTTGGGTGCGTGCGCGCCGGTGTATTATGTGCGTGGGTGCACGCGCAGTGTACTCTTTTCCTTCCTATCTATGTTGTGCATTTCCTATATTTTTGTTATTAATATAATAACGATAATAATATATCAATATATATTTATTTATTTATTGATCGTATTTATATTATATTGTATTAACTAATTTTCCATCTATTCCACGTTCTCAACTTCCTGAAAACACTTGAAGCATAGCTTGCTTATCTTGGAATAAAATTTAGTTTATACTCTTTAGGTCCGTATGTGATGCCAAATATTCCTTCAAAGGATGGGTTTTCGCCCTCGGGTAGCTTCAATTCAAAGTTCTGCAGAATGCTTGTGAAGAACAGAAAGAGTTCAACCTTTGCCAGGTTTTCTCCTAGGCATACGCGCCGGCCTGAAATGTAAGCAATATTATATATTAATGCGCTGCTGTTGGGGCACTATGCTCTCATAGTGTTGCTGAGGGAGGAATAGTGCCCTCGCTACCGCGCTGCGGCACTATTCCTTCCCTCAGCAACTTATGAGAGCATAGTGCCCCAACAGCAGCATTAATGTTTTTAGTGCATCACATGACTATGCAATCCTACTTTTCATGCTTATATACCTTTTTATACTCCCTAATTTGCGTGCATTCGATGTAAACAAAACGTTCGACACAAACACAACCGCCGTTCGAAATTACTCTTGCGTCGCCCCCCCCCCAGACGCAGAATTCGTGACGCAAAACACAATGCGTTATAATAACAATGGCGTCGCGCAAGCATATTGCCGCCTCCGTCAGGCGGGCACTATCGCTTCAATAGTGGCCTCCTGCGTTATCAATGAGATTGCAGCGATTTATCACGTCATGCACTAATAGCTGATCTCTCATCATGGTAAACATTTATTTACCAAGAGAAATATGGAATCATTTTGATTTTACTCGTGCATTTAATTACTCGATATTATCTGTTTAATTGTCAGTTAGATACGTACCGATCGAGAAGGGAATTAATGCTGTTCTTCACTAAACTGCCACCCTTGTCTATGAACCTTTCTGGGTTAAACCTCTCTGGGTCAGGGAAGTACGCAGGGTCCATCATGATAGCTGTCAAGTTGCCCAACACCCTTGTCCCAGCTGGGATGTTGTAGCCGTTCAACTCGAATGCTTCCGTACACATATGAGGAATCGACAGCGGTACAATGTTTCTAGAAAAGAAAGGAAACAGAAGAGGCTGCGTCAAGGCAAGTCAATTGTTGGCTATGTGAAGTTTGTAATCGCGTTACTTCATGACGCTTTTTACCGATGGCCAAACGTACGGTCATAAGTATTAGGAAAAAATCATACACCGTCTACGCGCCAGTAAACGAACCTAAACGTTGGATTTCAAGATTGTGGCTTCCGTGTATGTCATTTTTGCTTTATCACTCATAGATGGCAGACGCCGCGTCCAATTACGTCATCAATTTCTGCCTGTACTTTCTGTATACATCCGGGTGTTTGACAGAGGAACAAGAGCGCCCAGCGCAGAGTGGTGGAGGTCGTCTCCGATCCAGCAGAAGAGTGAAAGTATAACTATGCGCAGCTGGTCCACTGAAAAATATAGCGCATCTCTTTAGTTCTATTGAACATTCTACCGAATTAGGACGAGTGAGATACATGGATTTTACCTATAAGTTATACTTATAACTCCTAGATTGTCTGATTTCCTGAAATTAATAGGTGTGGTTTCACGTCTCATTGACTGGCTGTTGGCGCACAATATTTATTTTGAAACCAAGAAATCATAATATTATTTATTATTATAATCCGGAGATGTAATAAAAGCCGCAACTATACGTTGGATGAATGGACATATATTTTTCTGCCAAGTACCCGCGTATACAACGCGAGGTTTCCTGAATATTCTCACAGATTAAGATGCTTACAATTGAAGTAATCCTCTCCACGCGCCTCGCTTGCTTTCACTTCGTTCAGATAGACATCTATGTAATCGTTAGCATTCTCTGGATCATGCTTTTCAAGGTGAGTGCAATATGTTTCTGTAGAATGTCAGAGATGGTTTCGAAAAACACGATTGTTAGAAAATTAGATGGCACGCTGTTAACCTTCGCTAAAATCGTTAATTGCGATTTTCCTACTGAAGTTACATCAACGATATTGCTTCAACGTCTTAAGATGGCATGGTTAGTGTAATACTTGTTACGTCTGTAAAGACGATGGTATACTGATCTGTGATCTAG